ATTTTCTACGTCTGATAACCAAATTTGATTAATTAACTTTAACCTGACAGTTTGATTTTTGAACTAAACCAATAGCCAGATAAATATATTACTCTTCAATTTTTTTTCACAATTCAAGCCACCTATAAACGTTCATGAAAATAACAAAGAAAGTTATGCATCAAGTTGATACAAACATTTCAAAAGTTGGAACAAGATAAAAATTGATTGATGCCATTATCACATAATTACGAAGGAAATTAAAATCCAATATTTCATATAATAACAGAAACTACTATTATTCCATTCACAAAATATGAGATGATGCTGAACTGAATGTCTGAGAATCAAAAGCATTCACGAACTCTAAAGTGTTGCTTTTTCTCAGCAAAAAAAAAAACCGATAATCGACTTATTTCTGGATGAAGAATCTACAAGTGTCCCGCTTTATCGTCATCAACTTTATCATAGAAGCTTTTCAAATCGAAACCAACGTTCGAAAATGGCATATGCCGCATAACCTGGGGATTATTAAGCAATTTCTCAGTATTGCAACTTTTGTAAGCTGTTGAAACTCTGTGACCTCATTGAGTACTCCTTGATTAATTTGGAGAAGAACGAATTCTCTCTTTCCAATAGCTTAGCCGGCGTGTCATACTCTGCTATTCTTCCTGCTCGACAAAAAAAATAGAAAAAAAAAAAAAAAAAAAAATTGTTCGTTGTTTAACCACGTAATTAGACTTGAATGATCTTACGATAATGCACTTGATATAAGTATAAGCTGGGCCAGTTTTGCAATTAGATTGCATCCCAAGGGTACTCTTTGTAATTAATTAAGCCTGAAAAATAATTTTCTTACCATCACTCAGCACCAAGACAAGGTCACTGTCGATAACCGTGTGTATCCTGTGTGCTATGGTGACTACCGTTCGATCTTTAAACTCCCGATTTATAATCTTTTGAATAACTCCATCAGTTGCCGAGTCAACCGATGCAGTAGCCTCGTCGAGCACAAGAATCGTGCTCTTTTTAAGTAAAGCCCTCCCGAGACAAAATAGCTGCCTCTGGCCGACACTCCAATTCTCTCCATTCTCAACCACTGTCCAAAAATCGAGCGCGTTATTTAGGGAGTGTTTCGTAAATTAGAGAAACTTGAATAAAATGCAAATATTTTGCAAAATTGCCCTGTTTATAACCTGTGGATTCAAGCTTATCCGCTTTTCCACGGACGATATCTCCCAATTGACATTTATCGAGCGCCTAAGAACAAAAGAGGCTAATGTAAGACGAGTAAAATTTCACTCGTTAAAAATATGTTCGTGGCATTTAAGGTACGAATCATCGTACCTCCCAAATCTCGATATCCGAGTGTTGCTCGAGCGGGTCGAGATTTCCTCTGACTGTACCCTCAAACATGGTCGGGTCCTGTGGGATGATGCTGAGCCTCGACCTCAGGTCGTGAAGGCCAATCTTGCAAATATCAACATCGTCAATTACGATACTGCCCTCCCGAGGCTCCACGATACGGAAAATCGCCTGTATGAGCGTCGATTTACCACTTCCCGTCCTCCCGACAACACCAATTTTTTTCTTACCGGGAAATGTGCACGTGATGTTCTTTAAGACTGACGGTAAATGCTCTGCGTATCGTATCTGTACAATGAATCGTTTCAAAAAAAAAATTGGAAAAGAAACTTTATCATTTTGCATGGGGGGAGAATAAAAATTTTAGTGTCCTTTTAGTTCCTTTTACCTGCAAATTATTGAAACGAATATTTCCAAAATCGGGCCAGTTTTGTGGGGGTCTGCTGTCTTCGACTACGAGTGGGGCTTCACTTGCAAGGTTCGAGTACTGAAGAATGCGTTCGACCGATATCATTTTATTTTCCGCATTGCATATATTCCATATGACTGAAGCTTGTAATACGTTCAGATTAATCCCGTAGGTCACGGCCAGCCCGGCAATGCCTGTGAAGGTAGTGAATGAGTTATGCCGAAAAAAGACCCAAAAAAAGACCAAAAAAAAAAGAACAAAATCAATGAAGAAATCGAGCTTTACTAGGATTTATGATTCCTTCTGGGAGAGTGACGAGCAAGACGAGCGAGAAGGCAAACACGAAATTTGACAGTTGGTTCAGCCTGAACGAGAGCCACTCCATGGCCGACACATTGTGAAACCAAGGTCTCGAGTGATTGTCAATGAGGCATAGGTTGAAGTCACTGAACCTTTCCTGCTGATCGAAAGCTCGAATAGTTGCAGCACCCGAGAGTGACTCTGCAAAATGGTGGAGGATTGGAGCCCTTTGGATGCCAGCTAGGCGTGCAAGCTCTCTTGCAGTTGGTATGTAATATCGCTGAAAATGAAAATCATGAGCCAACTAAAATTACTTGGAATACAATAGGTTAGATTATCTGTGAACGACAAAATTAGGCAACCAAAAATAAGAAAAATGGTTAAACGGAAGTTAAATAATGATCAAGAGTAACTTATTCAAGATACTGAGCCAAAAAAAAACACAGAGAGATAATCCAAATTTATTTATAGCTATATAATCTGCTTATCCAAATGAGATTTTTTTCGGCTCACCTGGTACCATATGCAGATAGCCGTGACAGGAATAAAGATGAGAAATACTTCCCATGCAACTTGTGACATGACTGCTATAGTTCCTAGAAGCTGTATTATCGAGAAAGCACACCAACCTAATCTGTTCGCCATTTCTAAATCCAAAACACTTTGATCTGTCGAAGCCTGTACGTAAAACCGTACTACTGATGTAAAGAAACACGGAAAATAGGAAAAAAAAATAACCCAAAAAAAATTTAGTAATTACTGAAAGTCAAAAGCAGCATAGAATTAAAAAAATAAAAAGAAAAAAAATTATTATCTGCAAATATAAACCCAACAATCACATTTCCTTCAAGCTGTAAACATACCCTGTTCAATATCCTTCCAGCTGGCGTGGAGTCGAAAAACGACATGGGTGCCCGAAGAACACTATTCAGCATCTTACTAAAGAGCTTTTCAGCTGTGAGAAGACCCGCTACAGCCACCAATGAAGCCCTAAGCAGCACGCAAAAGGCACTAGCAACTGCAAGAAGTGTATAAACCAACAGTACAAAATTCATCCCAGCCACCGGCTCGCTATCCCCAGTCGGGCAGGCCCATGCCATCCAGTAATTGCTAGCAATCTGCAAAACCTGAAAGGACGATTGTGCGAGAAGGATGATCGGGACTAATGCACCCCGTTTGACAGTGGTCAAATACGCCATATAGACTTCTTTCCCAATGCTGCCTTTTTCTCTCTCCTCATCCTGGACTAGCCGCCCTTCTTTCTCGGTTATCTCCACTCGTAAGTTGTGTTCTGAGTCTTGTTTGGTGTGGGGAAATTCTTGGCTGGGGTCCGAGTCGTTGTCTGTTGTCTCCTTCTCGGCTGGTGTGCTGCTGTTGTTGTGATCTGAGGTGGTTCGGCTCGAGCTCTCGGCGGTTAGCACGGATTCCAAGGCCTGGCTGTGGGCCCCGACCAGGACCTCGAACCCGATGTTCTGCTTCAGCAGCTCTTCGAACGTGCCAGCTTGTGCGATTTTCCCGTTTTGCATCACCTGTTAGGAAGTCGATTTTTATCATGTGAAGAATTTGCATGATTGAAGGAACTGAATAAAAGGATTTTTTTTTTTTTTGGCATAAATATTGCGATTAATGGATTTGAGTCGAGACACACCAGAATAAGATCGGCTGCAGGCAGAAACTCAACTTGATGCGTAACATACAGAATAGTCTTGTCCTTGAGAATCCCCATCAAGCAATCCTATAGAACAGAGAACCCACCAGCCATTCAGCTCACAGAAAAAGATACTCAAAAATAACTATGAAAAAGAAAAAAGCAGACCTGAAACAGTTGTGTGCCCGTATGAGCATCCACAGCACTGAACGGGTCGTCCAGAAGATAAATATCCGCATCCTGATAAACGGCACGCGCAATCTGTATCCTCTGCTTCTGCCCCCCGCTCATGTTTATCCCCCTCTCCCCAATCTCCGTCAAATCCCCCGCACCAAACAACTCGAAATCCTTCACCAGGGCACAAGCCTCAATAGTTCTCTCGTACTTATCACTCTCATAACACCTCCCGAAAAGAATATTTTCCCGAATATTCCCAGTCAATATCCACGGCGACTGGGGCACATAAGCCTTTGACCCACATACCCTCACCTTCCCTGCCAGCCTGTTCATCTCTCCGAGCACGCACGAAAGCAGGCTCGATTTTCCGGACCCCACAGTTCCACAAATCGCCACTTTCATCCCTTTTTTCACCTTCAGCCGAATCCCGTCGAGTGTCGGATTCTCGAAATCCATGTCCCAACTGAATTTCCCACCGTCAATCTCCACATCAAACCCCGTTTGACCAGTTTGACTGCCATCCCGAACAAAGTCAACAGCATCCGGCTTGATCTCATCCTCCTGGAGATAAGTCGAGATCCTATCCACCGAGACCTTCCCCTGGGCAATCACGTTGAGCAAATCGGGAAGGTTGAAAATCGGGTCTTGAAGCATTCTGAAAGTGGCTAAGGCCGAGAGAACCCGACCAGCCGTTAAAGGGATCCCCATTAACAAACACCCTCCGAAAGTGACTACAGAGATAAAGGTTGGCGAACCCCAGAAGATGAACGCGCTAAGAGCCGAAAGCCTGAGCGACTTCCACAGCCATCCATGCTCGGTTTTCCTCAAGCTCGTTAGCCTCTCGAGGTAATGAGTGTCCCATGCCTGCAGCTTGAGCGTCTTCATATTCCGAAGGACTTCAGCAGTGGACTTCATTCGATTATCCTTAGCTTCCATAATTCTCGTCTGATACCACTTTTGAACTCTCGTTAGCGGAATATTTCCAGCCATGACCAATAGAGTTGCGGCTAGTGCCACGAAAGCTCCCCGTCCAAGATTCATGTGGAGAACATAAACGGCCGACGAGATTTGCACGGGCAGCATCCATACTGTATTTAAGTACCATACGAAATCCGTGATTCTTTGCACATCCACGCTCATGTAATTCATGATTTCTCCACTCGTTCGGCTCTGACGAGACTTGCTCGACAAAATCAGCCCTTTTTTGTAAATCTGAGAAATCAGCGCGGCTCTCAGTCGGAGCCCGAGCTGGCGAGCCCCGAAGATCCACTGCCTCTGCGCGATGGTCTCGACTAGTTTCGCGCCGAGAAAACCGAGCGCGAGAAAATATCCGCTGCTCAAGCTCCGGAACTTTTTTTCGTTCAGAAACTCTACAAAGTAGTTGATGAGGTACGGGCCCACGTATGAAGTGCCCGCGCTCGTGACGGCAAAAAGGGCATTAATGGCAGCCTTTTTCCGAGCAAAAATGTAAATCGCCTTGTAAATGGACGGGATTTCGGTCCCGTCGATTTCTTTTACGTATTTGAGGCACTCGTCGAATTTTTGAGATAGGAAAGCAGCCGAGTCCTTAATGTCGACATCTGGGACTTCGTCCTGATCGAGAGGCTTTCTGAATCCGAATTCGAACAGCGGATTAAGCCAGGAAAAGGTGACAAGCTGGACGAGAGTGGCTTTTCCATACGGACCGTTGTCTCGCTTGACTTCTGAACTCTTTTCGGTTTTCCCGATAAGAAGCGGTTGGGTAATTTCGTTCTGGATGGTGAAAGTCAACCCCGTCTTCCCCCCGATAGAAAGACCGAGCAAACAGGTGGAAAATAAAAGGGTAATTATGTCAGAATATTCCTGCAACCTGGGGTGAACATGCTTCGACATGATCCAATGTGCATCGAGCAAAGCACGAGCGAGGGATAACAAAAAGGTAAAACTCCACCAGAATCTCAAAATGCATGGAAATTTAATACTCCTCCTGTTTCGAATTGAATACAGTACAACTATTGCTATCGACCATGATACCACTTGCATGATCCTGGATGAAAGTATCGAGACATGTGACCTGCAGTGAGGTCCCGTTTTCGTTTGCCACATCAACAACGGTACGGCTTGAGTCCCGAGCATTAGGACAGAACAGACGATGCTGAGTTTGTAAGGAAGCCCGTATTTGCCATCTGTCGGGATTTTTTCTACTTCGTTCGCCTTTATTCTGCCTTTGCTGAGATAGGACATTTTGTTTTTTGCAAAGCATAGCAATAAAGTTAACAGGAATACGAGCTGTAAGATTATACTCGCGTCCTCCCAGAGGCAGAGGGATACGAGTTCGGGCCATGCGGGCTTAAATTGAAGAAACCTGATACCTGCTGGGCATCAAGAAAAAGAAAGAGATTGAAAAATTTCAGATTCATATTAAGTCCATTGACCTTGACTGAATAGAACTGAATAATCGATCGGTGAACAGGTTTTCAGATTTTTAAAGCCATAATTCAATCTGAAATTCGACATTCAAATGCAAGCTCCATGAAATTCTTGCAACTATACAATTATACCAAATGTATGTGCAAGTAATCCTCACAAAAAGTTTTGAATTATACCATATTACTCCTACATGTTAATCCTGCAAAACTAACACTCTGAATTAATTATAAGCAATCAACTCGTGTGAAAATGCGTGTACTCGGCACGTACTTTTTCTCGTCGTCCAATGGAAAGCCATCATCAAAGATTACAAACAACTATTTCCTAATCTGACAATTTTCAGTTCTTAACTCATTCATCGGCAAAATTATATCCACCAATACGTCCCCGACCCCAAAACAAAGTACAGGGAATCTGTGAAAATGCAAAGAAGGTGCTGAAAACATTATTTTAAGACTAAGACACGCAACTCTGTTATTGTGTGAGTCAGCACATGAATGCTTTTGTTGTTGTTATCACTTTCTGTCCCTTTCTTGCATAAATTTAAAAAAGGAGGATAAAAAAGCCACCACCACTTGTAAAGTTCTAATTCCCCTTTCTTAATCTCCAATAGAATATTTAACCAACAAACACTTCACACACGCACACACAGGCATAGGGATAGCTTTCACGAGAGGGTCACTTGCAAAAACATGCATCTTGTGACCAGTGAGAGTATAAAAAAGGCCTACCCCAAATGCTTTTCAACCATCAAAAGAGAATTTTCAGAAAACAAACACCATTTTTTAGCTAAAAAAAATTCACTAAGGCAATTTTCTATTCATAATCTTTCAAGAAAAAAAAAAAGAGAGAGAATGCAAATTCAGAATAATAGAACAATAATAAAGAAAATCAAGAGATGCACACAGTGTTGAGGTTCAATTTTCTTTCCCTTTTCTTTTAAGTCCACAAGAATTTAAGTAGAGTGGGTGGTGGGCCCATCAGGAAGGAAGTGAAGAAACTACACAAAAACTTGCTAATTGCTTGCACAAATAGACTAAACAAGAAGAAGGATGTCCTGTGAATAATGAAAATCCACATCACTGGAAATGACGTGAAAATTAAGTAGGTGTGTCCAATTTTTCATGGTTTGGAAAGCCACTCAAGATTTGTCTTTAGAAATTTTGGATGTAGCACATTGATTAGTCCACATTTATTTGTTTGTTTGTTTATTAAGAATAATAAATGTGAACTCAAACCTCCCGCAACACAAATCTTACACTGACGAGATGCTACGATCCCGTTACGTAACCATTCCATTGGGGTTTGTAACCGTTAGATCATCATGTAGGGATAGATGATCTAACGGTTACAACCCCGACAGAATGGTTCCGTAACGGGGCCATAGCATTTCCCTTTACTTTGTTCAATATTTTAATTTTCTCCTCAGATTTAACCCTACACACAACTGAAGTAACTCGCTTTTCACCGTTTGATCAACACACGAAACCCAGTGTAAACATCGCCTATTCACAACTTCCGGAACCGTGACAGCAAGTCCAGCAAATAAAACAATAAAAAGAAGCTGTCCTGTATTAATGACAACATATGGTACCTGTTTAACATAAAGATGCAATCTTTTCACATCAATCATGCGAATTGTACACAAAGATGTAATCTTTTCACATCAATCATGCGAATTGAACACAAATTAAAAGTGGGCTACACTCATTCCCATCCATATGATTTTTTTTTTTTTACACTGTGTGTGTTTGTGCGGGTACGCATGCATGTTCAGACGCACAACACCGAACAAAAAAAAGACATGAAGCTTACTTGAACCCGCGCTGAACATTTGTGCCAAAACCATGTTTGGCCCTCTCGTTTGTTTCTGCAAATTTCGCAGTTTCCGATGGGAAAGAAAGGCGAAATCGACTGCTCGAGCAGTAACCGCTCAAAATCCTCACAGAGTGTGTTTGTGTGTGTGAGTGAATATAAAATTTTAGTTCAAATCGAACTTCACATGAAAATTGTATTGAGACATGGTTTAGTGTGGGTCTCTCGTCTGCCGCTGATAGAGAAGACGATGCGAGAGAGGGAAAAATGGTGGTGCAGCTCTGAAAAGGGCACCGCCATATATGATATGTATATCTTAATTAAATATTTGCTTTTTACGTTTTTATGGAAAATGAAAATAAACATATCACCTCCCTATATATTAATTCAAAATGTGTTCAGCATATGTAATAGATTCTCACGCTTGGATATTGACATAGAAAAAAATATATAATATAACTATCTATATATATTTTTGTTTAAATATAAAAATATCATGGGTGAACCGAATCATCTATCCATGGGAACTTTTATTAATAACTATTGTGTAATAAGTAACCACTATTGTGTTAAAAGAAATTCGTTTTGATTGTACAAAAAAAATAAATAAATAAATAAATAAGAAATTCATTTTGAATCAACAAGGTTGGATCAAGCGGTAAGGAACTTGTTGTACCTTAAGGTCTTGGATTCGGATTCTTGTGAATGCAGAAAACTCTTGTTGGAAGACTCATTTACCATTGTCATGTGTGCGACTTGGGTCGATCAACAAATTAGTTGGGATAATACTCCAGATACCATGATTGGCTATCAAGAAATACAAAAAAAATAAAATAAAATAAAATAAATCGTTTTGCAAGCTTTTGAACTATAGCAAAAATAAAAAAATAAAAAATAGTAACGGAGTTTTCCTATTTATAAGCAATCACATGATTACTGGTAAACCAATTATCTAAAATCGCTAAATTATATCACATTTTATCCGTCTTATGATTGGTATTAAAAGTCCTATTATCATTTTTACAAATCAACACATCATTCATTTTTAGAGTTTGAAACCTCATGAGATAATAAAAAAA